TTACATAAAATCAGACGAAAATATATATGAACCGATTTTCACGAAACTTAGCACACGTCATTCTAGCCTTAATTCAGTACACTATGACAAATTTCGTGCAAATCGAATGATTTTCAGAGACTTTGATGCACCAATTACTTGAAATCGGATACAAATACATATGGGAGCTATATCTAAATCTGAACCTATTTTCACGAAACTTTGCACACATCATTCTAGACTTAATTCGGTACGCTATGCCAAAATTCGTGCAAATTAAAAGATTTCCAGGGACTTCGGTGCACCAATTACCCAAAATCGGGCGAACCTATATATGTTAGCTAGATCTAAATCTGAACCGATTTTCATGAAACGTAGCAACATCATTCTAGACGCAATTCAGTACGCTATGCCAAATTTCGGGCAAATCGAAAGATATATAGGGTCTCTTTTGCACCAATTACCTTAAATCGGATGAAAATATATATGGGAGCTATATCTAAATCTGAACAGATTGTCACTAAACTTTGCACACATCATTCTAGACATAATACAGTACGTTATGCCAAAATTCGTGCTAATCAAAAGATTTCCAGGGACTTTAGTGGACTATTTACCTAAAATCGGGTGAAGCTATATATGGGAGCTATATCTAAATCTGAACTGATTTTCACGAAATTTTGCACACATCATTCTAGACTTAATTTAGTACGCTGAGCCAAATTTCGTGCAAATCGAAAGATATATAGGTACTTTGGTACACAATTTACCTTAAATCGGACCAAGATATATATGGGAGCTATATCTAAATCTGAACCGATTTTCAAGAAACTTTGCACACATCATTCTAGACTTAATTTAGTACGCTGTGCCAAATTTCGTGCAGATCGAAAGATATATAGGGACTTTGGTACACCATTTACCTTAAATCGGACGAAAATATATATGGGAGCTATATCTAAATCTGAGCCGATTTTTCCCAATTTGAATAGGGTTCGTCCTTGGGCCAAACAAATGAGCTGTGCCAAATTTCATCCAATTCGAATCATAAATGCGACCTGTACTTTGTTTACAATTTAACACCGACAGACGGACGGACGGACATGCATAAATCGACTCAGAAAGTGATTCTATGCATATTCTCAAAAGGAACCATGGGTCTATCTCGATTATTTTTGCCTGTTACAAACATATGCACAAAGACATAAAACCCTGTACCACAGTGTGGTGAAGGACCGTCCGACCTTTGAACTATCCTTTCACCTGGGCCATAACATCTTTCACTTATTTTTGTAAACACATTACATTATTATACAATTTGCGTAAACATTTCTCTGAGATAATCATTTTCACGTTATTTGTTCGATGATACTCTGAATACACGTACATAGTCACACAAGAATATGAAATTAAACAATAAATGCTGGTAATAAAATAAATAATAAAATTATCAAAAATAATTGACAGACTCAAGATCAAAGTGTATCGAAAAATGAAACCGAAACAAAACATATGCATTTGTCGTAACACATTGTGTAGCTGTATGGTTTTTGTGTGTTCTGATTTCATTGATATCTATAAGAGAGGTTTAAAATTTTGAAAATATTTGGAAAAAAAATCGATTTATGCGCGTCCCCTAATCTGCATGTCTTTCTATATTAAATTGTAAACAAATTACAGGTCACATTTATGATCCGAATTGGATGAAATTTTGCATAGGTCACTTGTTTGGCCCAACGACAAACCCTATTGAAATTGCAGAAAATCGGTTCAAAGTTAGTTATAACTCCCATATATAGTTTCGTCCGATTTTAAATAAACGGTGCAGTAAACTCTAAAGGATTGTCCGATTGAGACAAAATTTAGCACATCGTACTAATATTTCTACAGGGTGATGTCGATTGGGAAAAACATTTTCTCTATAGAAAAAATATAAACCCAAGGGTTTGTTAATTATTTTTTCAATAGAATTGGATCCAAGCGTGAGCATATCTTGTATGTGCCCAAAGTAGTGAAGAAAATCATATAGTCGGCTCTGTCCGACATTTGAACATTTCTTGCTGATTTATATAGAAAAAACTTAAACCCAAGGGTCCGTAAGTTATTTAATATAGAAAGCATTTGGATCCAAGGCTCCGTGATTTTTATACCCTTCACCACACTGTGGTATAGGGCATTATGTATTTGTGCATATGTTTGTAACAAACAAAAGGTATCGAGATAGGCCCATGGTTCGTTTTGAGAATATGCATAGAATCACATTCTGAGTCGATTTTATACATGTCCGTCCATGTATTTTTGTGAACAAAGTACAGGTCCCATTTATGATCCGATTTGGATGAAATTTGGCACATGTCAGCAATTTGGCACATGCCCAAGGACGAAGCCCATTGAAATTGGAGAAAATCGGTTCAGATTTAGATATTGGTCCGATTGAGACAAAATTTTACACACAGTACTGAATTATGTGCAGATTAATATGTGCGAAGTTTTGTTGGAATCGGTTCATATTTAGATAAGCTGCCATTTAGGTAAATGGTGCACCGAACTGAAAATGTTTGCCCGATTGGGACAAAATCTTGCACAGCGTACGGAATTTAGTCCAATTTGACATCTGTGAAGTTTTGTTGAAATCGGTCCATATTTATATATAGCTCCCATATATAGTTTCGTCCGATTTTATGTAAATGGTGCACCAAACTCCCAATAATGGTCCGATTTAAACAATGAATTCAGTCCAGTTTGACATCTATGATGTTTTTCTTGAAATCGGTCCATATTTAGATATAGCTCCCATATATATTTCCGTCCGATTTTAGGACAATGGTTCACCAAACTCTCAAATTTTGCACAGCATACTGAATTAAGTCCTGTTTGATGTGTGTGAAGTTCTGTTGAAATTGGTTCAGATTAACATATATCTTCCATACAAGGGTATCATATAGTCGGCCCGTCCGATTTTTGAACTTTCCTTACTGGTTTTTCTATAGAAAAAAAACCATTTGAGCGTCTGCGAATATGCTTCTATAGAAAAACTTGAAGCCCGAAATATTTTCAAAAAAAATGCACCCATGGCTCTTCCAATTATTATATTGAAAATTCCTGGACCCAAGGTTCTATGATTTTTTTATAGAAAAATTTGGACTCACGTCTTGATCTTAAGGTTCAGTGAACTTTTTAATAGAAACAACTTAGACCCAAATGTCTGGGCATTTTTTCTATAGAAAAAGCTTGGCTTCAAGCTTCCATGCATTATTCAATAGAAAACACTTGGACCCAAGGGTCCGTACATTTTTTCTACAGAAAAAACTTGGACCCAAGGGCCTGTGAATTTTTTTTATTCAGAAAAAAATGGACTCAAAGGCTTGTGAAGTTATTTCTATAGGAAAAACATGGAACCAAGGGTCTATGAATTTGCTCCTATAGAAAAAACTTTGACCCAAGGGTCTGTATTTTTTTCCCTATAGATAAAACTTGAAACCAATGGTCTGTGTATTTTTTATATAGTTAAAATCGGGCGAAAATATATGTGGGTGTTATACCTAAATCTGAACCGATTTTTTCCAATTTGCCAAAATTCATCCAAATCGGATCATAAATGGGACCTGTACTTTGTTAAAAAATACATGGACGGACAGACGGACGGACATTCATAAATCGACTCAGATTCTATGCATATTCTCAAAAGGAACCATGGGTCTATTTCGATTTTTTCCCTGCTACAAACATATGCACAAAGACACAATACCCTGTACCATAGTGAGGTGAAGTGTATAAAAAGGGGGTTACATGTGGACTACCCCTAAAAGGGGCGAATATTTATAATTTTTGGGATGGAGGTTTGTTACCATATACGACTACAAAAAACAAAATTACAAAGAATTTGGTTGAAAAACGCGCTCAAGAACCCCAAAATACCGAAAATTGAGGGTACCCTTATATGAGGGTACCCTTATATATATTTATAATTTATAGTAGAGAGATTTGCTACCTAATAAGAACTCGGCGTACTAAATTACAGTCAATTCGGTCGAAAAATACGATCAGAACCCCCAAAATGCCAAAAATATGGGGGTACCCTTATATGGGGACTATCAGAAAAACTGGACCTATATTTATAATTTTTTGTGGAGTAATTTGATACCCAACGTACAAAATTTCAGAGAATTCAGTTCAGGCAAAGAGGTTTCAGATTTAATTTTGATCAAATCGGTTATTCAATTCGCTTTGAAATTAATTAAATTTACAAGTTTGAAAAATATTAACCCGTTCTAGGGTAGGTACCAGAAGGAAAGGGCCGATGGGTTCCATCTTCGGGTTAGGTACCAGAAGGTGTGGACCAATGGTTCTTATCTTCTGACTTGATCTAGGCTTGGTAAAAATAGAATGTGCAAAGTTTTATTAAAATCGGAGATTCTTCTCGCCTAATTTGGGCTTGGTGAAGAGAATAGGTTAAGTATGGGTTGGTTCAAATAGGATAGTCCGTTCGCATGATATTATAAAGTTATTTTTTTTGCACAATTTTGACAATTTTATGGGGGAAGGTACCAGAAGGAGTGGATCGATATTCCCCATCTTCGAATTTGATCTAAGCTTGGAAGAAATATTACAATGTGTAGAGTTTGAAGGAAATCGGTTTCTCCATTCGAGTGAACATTGCATTGTTTAATATATTTAATTGGTACATCCATATCCATATAACACCTCAGAACATTACATCATCATAACAAAATATCAACATAATTTTCTGATTATTTTCCAATAGGAATTCGTACAAAGTTCAAAATTAAAAATTGGAATTAGTCATATAAACTAAAATAGCAACAACAACTAGAATTTAATAAAAAATAAAAGCAAACAAATAATTCCTGTCCGGCAAAGCAACAAAACTATTGAAACCGGCAAACTGATAACGACTGCCAGAGAATGGCGCAGAATTCTTTTAATATTTTTTTTTTATTTTCATTATGTTTTCATTATCACGCCAATATTTAAAAAAAAATGATGCTTTCAGTAACATTTCAGTAACGATCACGGTCAACAACAGCAGCATTGAGAATGGCTCAGGAAACCAAAACCCAAAAACAACAACAGCAGCCGCAACAAAAATCCACCGGAGATGAGATCACCATGGCACCAGGTGATGAAGAGGAAATTGAAGAAATCGAAATACCTCAAAATAAAACGTTGAAGGATAAACTGCAAATGATTTGCGAGAAATTCGCTGCAACTGGTATGGGTCAGGCGATATTGGAGCGCGGTGATCGTGTGCTAAAAGTTTTGGAAGAAACCTCCAAATGGAGTTTGCCACAGGGTGGGTTTTAAGCCGATTATTCAATTCCAAAATAATTAAATGTCCTTTTATAGATGACACTGATACCAAATTGGAACGACCCCTGCCATGGATATTCTTTATACCGCTGATTGTGTGGTTGCGTGTCATTCGCATGTGGCTCTCCTTTGGCTGTATAATGTTGGGTGGTTCCCCCATGACGGCAGAGAAAATGGTCTATAATATACAAATTAAACGTCGTCGACTCCGTGCCATACGTGTACCAGCTTTAAGAGCTGCCCGTCGCCTTGAATCAGATCAGAGTGCCATGACAATGTCTGGTAAAAATCAAACTTTTATTGGCAAGATACGCTCATTGTTTGGCAGTGCTGTTTGTAAACCGGGCCAGCGTCATGATGCTCCGCAGAGACGTGCTTTTGGCACTGGGAATATTTCAAAAGTAACGGAAGAAATGTCGGTAAGTTGTGCGAGATATTGGTGCAGAGTACGCTTTAAGGGACCAAATCTGAATCGATTTCTACGAAACTTCATTCAAGACCCAATTCAATACCATATGCAAAATTTCGTCTTAATCGGGCAAAAGTAAGGTGTCCGGTGCACCTTTTACATAAAATCGTACGAAATTATATATCGAAGCCATATATAAATCTGAACCGCTTTCTATAAAGTTTAACACATGTTATTCTAGACTCAATTTAATACAATATGCAAAATATCGTCAAAATCGGACAAACCTTGGGAATTTACATAAAATCGGATGAATATATATATATATATATATAGGGGAGCTATATCTGAATCCGAACCGATTTCAAAGACAATTTACACACTTTAGCCTATACTCAATTCCATATGCCAAATTTCGTATCAATCGGGCAAATCTTGAGAATTTGGTGCAATATTTACATAAAAATCGGACGAAGCTATATATGGGAGCTATATCTATATCTGATCCGATTTTAATGAAACTTAAAACACACTATATCCTAGTCTCAATTCCATACGTTATGTCAAATTTCGTCACAATCGGACAAATATTGGGAGTTTAGTGCACCATTTACAAAAAATCGGACGAACCTATATGTTGGGCTATATCTAAATCTGAATCAATTTCAATGAAACTTAACACACATTATCCTGGACTCAATACCATACGTTACGCCAATTTTCGTCTCAATCGGACACATCTTGGAAATTTGGTGCACTATTTACTTAAAATCGGACGAAAATATATATGGGAGCTATATCTAAATCTCAACCGCTTTCAATAAAACTTAGCACATGTTATTCTGGACTCAATTTCATACGTTATGCCAGATTTCGTCGAAATCGGGAAACCTTGAGAATTTGGTGCACCATTTACCTTAAATCGGACGAAAATATATATGAGAGCTATATCTAATCTGAACCGATTTTTCCCAATTTCAATAGGGTTCGTCCTTGGGCCAAATAAGTGACCTATGCCAAATTTCATCCAAATCGGATCATAAATGCGACCTGTACTGTGTTCACAAAAATAAATTTCGATTTGCACAGAGTACATAATTGGGTCCAAAATGATGTGTGCCAAGTTTTGAGAAAATCGGTTCAGTTTTAGATATAGCTCCCATATATAGTTTCGTCCGATTTAAGGTAAATTGTGCACCAAAGTCCCTATATATCATTCGATTTGCACGAAATTTGGCACAGAGTACAGAATTAGGTCCAAAGTGATGTGTGCCAAGTTTCAAGAAAATCGGATTTAGATATAGCTCCCGTATATAGTTTCGTCCGATTTGCATGAAATTTTACATAGAGTACTGAATTATGTCCAGAATGATGTGTGCCAAGTTTCGAGAAAATCGATTGAGATTTAGATATAACTCCAATATAAATTTTCGTCCGATTTAAGGTAAATGGGTCTCCAAAGTCCCTATGTATCTTTCGAGTTTCCCGAAATGTGCATAAAGTACTGAATTATGTCCAAAATGATGTGTGCTAAGTTTCGAGAAAATCGGTTCAGATTTAGATATTACGCCAATATATATTTTCGTCCGATTTAAAGTGAATGGGTCTCAATTTGGCACAGCTTAATGAATTAGGTCTAGAATGATGTGTGTTAAGTTTCGTGAAAATCGGTTCAGATTTAGATATAACTTCCATATACATTTTCGTCCTATTGTAGGTAAATGGTGTACCAAAGTCCCTTAATATTTTTCGGTTTGCACCAAATTTGGCACAGCGCACTATAGGTAATTTGGACAGTTTTTAGGCAAAAAGTCATTTTTTCAATTTTGGAAAATAATAAATTTTTTGGTGGCAATGAAAAGAAAACATCCCAAAATTTATGATTCTGTAAGATTTTTTGCGTAAACGTGTCTTTAAAGCGGTGGAAATCGTTGCCAAACTCTACACTTTGAAAATAAACTTAAAGAAATAAAAAAATTTTAAAAATTAAGGCTTATTTTAAAACGTTTGAAACCGCTTAATACAAATCATAAACATAAAAATTAAACATGGAGAATATTGGCGGTGGTGTGTGCTGTTTATTTAATATATAATATTTGTTAATACGTTTGTGTAGCGATTCAAAATTTACGTAATTGACTATAATAAAAGAAATGTGTCTATTTTTTACACATAAGTCATTTTAGATAGACTTTTACTAAAATGTTTAAATTTGTCTGATCTTTTGACAACTGAAATATATTAATGAAAGCCTTCTAAATTGATTCCAATAGGTCTCAAATTGCGATTTTTTGCGTTTTTCAAGATATATCAGTTTTTTGTAGCGAACTTCAGAATAAAAAACAATAAAATTTTCGATATTTAGTTTGATGAAAGAAATAAAAGCTAAGAAACATATTGTTATTTACAACATCCCCGCACGTAAAGTTGGCAATAACAGCAATATGGACGAAAAATGCGTCAACTTAAAAAAGAAAATTAGGTAATTTTGCATGCATTTGTCAAAATGGACCAAATGTCATAGGAAGATAGAACTTTCCGCGAAAAAAACTAATACACTCGAATTTTGATTACAAAATAAATGACAAGACTCGTAAACCGCAAATAGGTTGTTGAAGTAAAGATTATGAGAAAAAATCTTAAAAGTACAAAAGAGGAAATGGCGGGCTTGGGTTTCCCTTAGAATATAAACCACCAAAAATTGATTTTTTCAGCATTGATTAAAAATAAAAAAATACATACAAAAAATGTTGTTCAGTATAACCAGGGTTTACTATAATCGTGTTCGACTGTAGTACACATGGTTTTATCTCACTTTTACATATTAATATCATCAAAGAGTAAAAATGGGTACTGAATTAATTGTTATTAATGCATTCTGCAAAAACATACAACATTGTAATAATTATTCCTTTAAAAATCTGATCGCGGGGTCGAAATATTTTTAACACACTACCCTAATAGTTTTCAACCGTTTGTTGTGTTTAAGAAAACTAATGAAAATATCTGAAAAAGAATTAGCTTTGTTCGTTATATGTGTAGTTGCTTATAACCGTTGTTCGTTATATCCGGTTTCTACTGTGGAAATCTGCGTTTTCTCTTTCTTGTACATATAAATCATTTAAAAAGTCAAAAAATCGTTTAACACCGCTGTTGTTAATTTTTTCCTCAAAACAGGGCAAATTACCTATAGTGCAGCTTAATGAATTAGGTCTAGAATGATGTGTGTTAAGTTTCCTAAAATCGGTTCAGATTTAGATATAGCTTCTATATCTTGCCAAATGAAAAATTTAGTATCGGTTGCAGAATGACATTTTTATGGATCAATTTCATTCTACTGGTACATTAAAAATGCGACGTCTGTTATGATTCATCTGTTGAATATACCCAAAGTGGTGAAGGGTATCATATAGTCGGCCCAGTCCGACTTTACTACTTTCCTTACTGGTTTATTTTTTCTATTTATACTTCTTATATTTAAAAAAATAATACCCTTCTCTGATGTCAACCTAATCTTCTCTTAGGGAGAACGTTCCGTTAAGCGACCACGTGATGATGACAATGCCGATCTTAATATGACCGTTGATCAAATGCTTGAAAAATATGCCAATGAAGATTCTGAAGATGATTCCGATTATGTGCCAAATGAAGAAGAAGACAGTTCATCATCGTCATCAAGTGAAAGTATTTCCAGTGCTGAAGCTGCAGATTTATCCAAATCTGAGGTACATGAAAAACATTTTAATTCCTAAATATCTAACTATCATATATAGTATAAAATTATCCTGCTTCCAGAAATCTGAAATGACTTCCGCACTAGATCACAGTGTGGTGGAGGTCAAAGAAAACGGTGGTCCCAAACATAGGCCAATGCCTAAACCGATTGCCGATATCAAACTGGAACCCATATCAGATGCTGATAGTGGCAGTGAAGTGGCAAAGACACCGAAACCCGATAGTGGATCACAGACCAAAAGCACAACAGAAGTCGGTAATGGTTTTTAGAATTATAACAAAATTTCAGTGATTTTTTTCTTTTCGTTTCTTATGCATACATATATACATATACACACATAAATATAAGCATGGAATTTCTTTATTTGAACATCACATGAAGTGAAAATATTTTTTTTCTATGAGAAAATAAAAATAATTGAATTATGAAATAATTTTAATGAAATAATGATTAAGTCCAGTCATGCATTCCCACTTTTCCTTCTAAAATTAAAAAAAAAAAACAAAAATCTAAATTCTAAAAATCATATCCTTTATTTGGCCTTTGGTTTCTATATCTATATCCCTTTCTCCCCCTCACCTAATGAATATTTTGACAGCCACAGTTGAAAAAGAACAACAACAGCAACAACCACAAAAGGAACAGCAAAAGGATATCTCCACACCAAAATCCCAACCACACACAAAACAACAATTAAGTGTTACTGAAGATCCTGTAGCTAAACAAAAATCGACCCCAGGTCATGAATCTGCAGCCTCCTTGAAACCGGTTTTAGGTGCTAAAACCGCAGCAGGTGAGTTCCATGTTATACACATCTTATAATTCGTATTGTTATTGGAATGACTTTGTGATTTGATTTTTATGCCCCAGCACCCCAACAATCGTCTCGCCCCAACCCTGCAACTCGTAGACCGCCAATATCCTCGCCACCTCTAGAAAAACATTATCGAACGATTACAACGGAAACATCCATAACCGAATATGATTGGTCCATAGTTGTAAAAACCGAAATTACCCATCGAAAACCAACTCCGGTATATCGCAGATCCTCTCCAATACCAATTCCAAAAGCCTCGTCTTCCAACTTCCCATTAACACCCGCCTCATCAACCGAGGATATTTTTTACAGTCCTATTGGTTTGTTCAAATGATTTCACTTCACCCTCATCCACTTTGCGCATCTCCATCCCCTCATAAGCATAGCAAACCGAACATACACTTCTATAACCAAAAAATTAACTTCGAAAAATACAACTTTTTTCAAAATTTTGCTGAGCTCTCCTTCGGCTATATTTAGCAGAAAAAGTCCTCTCATTTCTTTACGGATTTAACCCATATTTTGCCTCAGTTAGAGGGAATATAAAATATTTGTCGAAGATTATTATCCAGGGTGACATACATCCATGTAGAATATATTCTCTCAAAGCCTGCATATCAAGATCCCAGTTAATTTTCCGTATATTCCAAGACCACTTTTCATCCTTTTCGAATATAGTTTACATAATAAATTATTTGGCTTAAATATTTCAAATAATGGTAGTCTTTTTCGATTTCACTCATTATCATTAATACATTTAATCATAACACAAGCATCTCATTTAACATACATTTACTTACTTTGATCATCCGAAATTATTTGTTCTCCTTCCTTCAGGTTCTCCACAGGACTTCCATTCCATCTTTCATCCGGCACCCATAGTTAAAGTCACTCAGGCAGAAGGTAAGCTGAGACTTTTCATTAAAAATTGAATGTTTATAAACTTTGTTTTGTGTGTTCAGCCCACCACTCAACGCCCAAGGAGGCTGATGATCGCAACGATAGCTCCGCTCCCGAAACCCCCGAAACTCAACATAAGAAACAACAGAATAAGCAACACCATCAACAGCAGCACCACCACCACAACAATAAGAATCGTAATAGAAATCGTCGCTGAAGAAATCTGTGGCTATTTTTTCATTTCGATTGTTTAAGTCCTTTTTCCCACCCCCAAATTTTCGTTAGTCCTTAATTTATTTCCACTAAAATATTTTTGATTTTTGTTAAATGAAAGAATTTTGTTATACATAATTGAATTTTTAATAAAAACGTATTTTATAAATCTTTCTTTGAAATTGGAATCGAAATATGATTACAAAACGCGGACAGATAAATTCATGTTTGCTATGGAGGATGTGACATTGTTATTTTGACTTAATTTGAATCTACACTAATTCAAGAATGTCCCCAGAAAATTTTAAATGAAAATCTCAAGAACTCTTGAAAATATAGACGATTTATTGCGTCAGCATCATGTGACGGCTAAAGGGCTTCTCAAACTTTAAACGCCTTTTTCTCATTTGCGAATGGCGGGCACGATAACTCAAAAACTAATAACCCAATCGATTCCAAATTTTTATACGTTTCTCTGTGAGTGTATAGCTATCGTATGAACTAGGATAAAGCCAATCGGTGAAGATCTTCCTTATCTTTTAACTTGATTTTTGGTCAAAAATCGGCGATTTTCCAAAAATATTTTTTCAAAGGTCCGCCATTTTGTTAATTTTAGAGCGAAGTCAATAATCCTAGTTCATACGAGAGCCAGACATGTACTCTTTCTAACACCGTTGGAATTTTCGGATTCCGATGTTCCAGTGAGGAGTTATCATGCCCGCCATCAAAAATAAGGACTTTTCTTTAATTACAAAAAACAACAACAAAACAATAACAAACATTTTTTGTAAATTATTTTTCTTCTCTTTTAAATCTTCAAATATATATGTGCAAAGTTACAAACCTTAACAAGCATTGGTATTGATTTACCAGCCCATTGAAAATCTTGAAAAATTAAAATTGAGAATGGGTGGGGTTCCATTAAATAAAGTATACGATTATACCTTTCATTTGAATATCTGTAATACGAAAAAAGTTACGCCGAAAATAAGATAGTGTCGTCAGCGCCATCTATTGATGGGTATGAATCAAATCAGGGTTATCAGTTTTTCGAGTTTAACTCTCGAAGCGTATATATTTAAATGATCGTATAACACAAATATTACCTAAGGATAAATATAAATATCTCAATATGTTCCATGCGGAATGACAAATTGAAACACTCACTCTACCCTGCATATTTCAAAAAAAAGTAAATAAGTAATAATAATAATTATAATAAATAATATTCTATTTTGAACATTTAGCGCTAAATGAGAAAAAAAATTAAAAATTTAAATATTTTAAAATATCATAAGCCAGAATCAGAAATGAACCCAATAATTTAATGTTAGTCTTTTTCTGATATCTGATATTTTTCCTATATGTATTTTTTACAAGATCCTTACAGATAGATCCAAACGTTTGAAGAGAACCAACGAAAATGTTGTATTTTTTTAAATCAGACGAAGTTTATTTTCTCAATATTTTCTTAATAAATATTACGACTGCCGCCATCTACTTGTCATTACAAAGACTAATTCAACGGCGCGTTACTATTTTAGTGTAATGGTTGGCAACGCATACGAATTCTTGATAATAATTATGTTTATTTTTAACGCATTAGCGAAGACAGAATCCGTAAAGTCTAAGCACAACCCTACACCATGTCATTGCATGAAATTTTTTTTCTAAAGTCTGACAAAAATGTAACCCCCATTGAATTCCTAGCAAGTGTTAACATTTTATACCAAAGGTGGCGCCGCCTAAAATTCTAAGGTAAAATTTATCGAGAAAATAAATAATAAATAATGTTTCAAATATTCCAATGAGAAGATATAACGTCTGTCACCGAAAAGAAGGCCTTTCATTTAATCACAAAAATACCACACGAATTTATATTCCATCTCAAAATATTCACCCGAACCCCATAAAGTTAATATACTATTGACCAGAATAAAATTCTACAAGGGATTTTGCAATGTCCTCGTGTGTGTTGAAATAACGACGGAGCTCGCAATATTTACGAGAGATTTCAAAAACAAAAAAATTATCCGTATGTACCCAATTCACTGTCCATTTCTATGTACTTTGGAAACTTTGAGCACGATATGTCCGCTCTTCGAACTCGATTTAAGTTTGGAAGAAATATTATTATGTGGTATCAAATCGAGCATTCCATATCATTGTTATTGGATTAGCAATTTCTCAAAAGTTTGACCCATTGCGGTTGAGGTACCAGAACGAGTATACTGTCCCGTCTTTGCCGTAGCAAAGAAAACATACTCTCATTAACCATAACCTTGAACATTTTCTGCTAATCAGTTTTTTCTAACCAGGAATACGTAATATCAAATTAAAGACAATTCAAAATTTTCTGAAAAGATATTTGTTGCCATCCAAGAACCTGGAATGTCGAATTACTGCTACACGGGTTAGAAAATGTGGCTAAGACACGCAAACTATCAAAAATATGACAGGACTTTTATATGGTACTATTTCACATCAGGGCTTATGTCGAAAATATTCTGACAAAGTATTTCTCACCCTCCATGAACCTGGTATACCAAATTACAGCCTTTCGATAGAAAAATGCGGATATAACATACAAAATACAGAAATTTATGCAGGACATTAATATGGAAGCGCTGTCCAAACATGAACCGAATATTTCGGGCAAATATTCTCCAATAATTTGGAATGCCAAATTATAGCTACTTCGGTAGGAAAATAGGGACTAAATATTTCAAAATATTGAAAATGGGACGACACCTTAACATGGACCTACATATAACATTTGTCTGCGAAAATTCAACCCATACACATTGATTGATTGACTGGACTGGATTGACATACAACAAAATACATAGGAAGATTTTTTTTTTTAAATTGGTATATTTAATATATTTGTGTAGGTTACTATAAGAATCGTAGAAACATTTTTCTACATAGTGGTGTAGGTGTATCATTGCTGATGAGAATAGCTTTCCGCTGATTTAACGTTTAAAGCAACAGCTCTACTAACTCAAATAAGGTGTCATATTTAAGAGAAATATTTATAAATCTAGTTCAAAGGAACTTAGTTCTTAGCTTTCATATGATACGAATTTTATTCGAATACCACAGTAGTTCAAAAGTTATGGGATAAATACCAGAACATAATAGTTTTTGCTCTTTTTGGCTCAAATACGAACTCTATTGAAATTGGTGAAATAGGGTCAATTTAGATATAAGTTAATGTTAGAAGTTAAAGTTTATTTCACACTGCTATGGTGTTTCTTTATTTTGTTACTAACATTTATGTTGCGGTGCTATGCACCTCTCTTTGTTGGATTTACAATTATGATTAACTTCAACTTAAAACTAATATTATACTGCAGCCTGGTCGTGCTCGTTATTACGCTGAGTCATCACTTGCGGTGCGCTGGTATTAGTGCGCGTGTTTGTGGCGGATGACTGCCCTGGTGTCATATTCCTGTTGATTTGTCGGACTGCTTGCGCAGCATAATGATGGGAATGTTTACTAGTTGGTTTGCATATTTAGTTTGATGTTTATTAGGGTGAGCCGTTAACTCCTCCCTCTCGAATTATCAAGCGTCTCGATTGATGTGTTTAGAAATATGGCAGATTATAAAGACTGCCGCGTTGATTCAAGTTAATATTGTGGTTTGCTAGTTGTTTTGTTTTGATAACAGATTCTGTTGTGCCGGCTGCCAATTGGCTTTCTGACACAGTCATTTCTATTTGAGGTCTAGACATTCCTTCATGTGGGGTCATTTTTATAATTTTCATACTAGTTTTGCGCCTTTACCTCATTTTTACTGCCATCAGGAGGATGACCAATGCTAATATGAGACTGATGTTAAAACATAAACTGGTCTTGAATTCAGTATTTAGACGCTCGATTCTTTTATTACTTTTCACGTGCAACGTTTTTAGTAGTTGTAGAGATAGTATTTCTTCGGTGTAGTTGTTTCTAGCTGAGTGTTTTAGTAGCGCAGGCAACGGTTTGGAGTAAGCAGCTTCTTCGACGGTGAAATTTTTGTTGCCTATCCTAATTGTAGAATTACTAAATCTTATTAAATAAGTTCCTGTTACATTTTTTTCGTTTCCATTTATGACAATATTTTCTTTTATGTTATTTATCAAAATTAATCCAGGTTCTATTTCCTCTAAATTATTAATGTGATCTGCATTTACTATTGAACAATTATGTGGGATATTAGTTACTAATTTAGGAATACATGTATTGTTTGTTATATTGGCTACATTAGATTCTAGACATAATTCAATACCATTTATTTTTTGACAAGGACTTCTAATTCCAAATGTTGCTCTTTCACATTTTACAATTTTCTTATAATCAAGATTTAAAACAGTATTTTGATTTTTTACAGGTCTTATGGTTATGACATTACAAATTTCTTTTACAGTTTTGGGAATGCTTATAATGTAAATTATAATAGTACTATTGTTTACAATTTTTATTCGTGCGAAATTTAAAGCTTGTTCAATGTTTTGAAACGGGATTTCATCTTGATTAAATATTTCTTCTATTTTTCTAATTTCTATTTCCGATAAAATAAATGTGTTTACAATGTTGGATTTTGTTAAATGAATGGCCGAATTAATATTCGTTACTTCCTCCTTTAAAATTTCAACTTTGTACTTTGCCTGCAATATGAGGGTATTACGGAAGTCCTCACTAGTCTTTAAAATTTTTGAAATACTATTTGTCGCATTCGTTATCTCCTGCATTCTTTCTATTAGATCTCTGTTGATTATTAGCTGGTTATTGCTGTTGTCTGTTAACTCATTGATTTTGTTTTCCAAAAGCATAAGGTCATCATGGTCTGGACTACCTGCCAGCCATTTCCACGCCGTTCCAATCTCATCAAGAGATCTTTTAGATCTCTCTTCAGGCATTA